GGGGGGGGGGGGGGGGGGGCAATTGTTATACTCATATATAACTGATCCGATTTCAATTATGTTAATATAATGAAGCATCATCAGATTATATAGAATAAAGTAATAAACATCAATATATTAATAAACTGTAAAATACATTAAAGTAAATTATCATTAGTCTCAAAAACTTGTTTTAAACACACCTATTCCATCCATTAAACACAATACATCAGTATTATAGTTAGTCTTAAAACTAACTAAACAGCACGTCTACTCTTGTATTATGGACAAAAGATCTCCTATGACCATTCAATTGAGTACGATACATTTGCAAGCAACTTCAATGGTTGTCGTTAGGATTACTTCCACCAGATGATCTTCTTCCATCCAGGGGTGATATGGATCTGCTAGCCGCATCACCTGGCTAAAAAAAATCAAAATAAACTATAATTAACGAAAAGTACCTCAACAATATCCTAATTAATAATCACTTAGCTTCAGTCAAGTATCAGTAACTTCAAGAATTACTTTCCTCCCGATCTAACTTCAAAAGTAAAAGGGACATTTAAAGATAAATAAATCCTCTATGGAAATTGAAATGGTGGCTGACGCTGCTGTTACAAAGTTCAAGAAGGTAAGTTCAAGAAATAGAATAGGGGATAGGCTGATGTCTTGTGTGCTAATTTGCTGTAGCTCGAACAATATAAAAGATAAAAATGCACATTTGATGAGAATGCATGTGTAGAAAAAGAGTCAAACACCACATAGCACAAAAGTTTTCAAAATTAAATAAGAAAGTTGTGAACTTTTCTTATTGTTGAATGAGGAGGAGAAACAAAGATCCCTGCAAATTCTTCAGGTATCCTCCCTTATTTCATTATCAAATACGCCTTAAAAACATTCATCATTTGGGTGTTAGCATTCATCATTTGGGTGTTAACATTCATTATTTATCTGTAGTTCTCTTGGCTTTGATTGTGAGCATTCAACATTTGATTGTACTTCTCTTGGCATTGGGAAGAACATGAACCATTATTATAAGTTGAAGCATTCAAGTCACTATAACGAGGTCTTGTTTGTCTAAAAGCTCTGCCAGGAACAGAACCTAATCCCAAGCACCTTACCCTTCCAGAGTGCTCTTTTCCCAGCACCTTACCAACGGCTTCATTTGGCGAAATCTCAGACTCGTCCACGGAGCTTTGGCTCAATGCTAGTTCAATTTTTTCCTAAATACATTAGACACCAAAAGTCAGTGTCTTGCCTTCAATCAGTGATTGATAAGTTATTAAAAAAGAAAAACAAGAGAAGAAGAATATTCAGCTTCTCAACTATTCAATGAATGCCTCTAGTGACAGATGAGATCAGGGCCAATGCATCAGAATTCTACACTGAAAATGATATTTTTCAAGAGAAATCCAAATCTTGCTAACAGAAGTAGGTTTGCCAAATGGCCTACTTCCCATGCAAGACATGTTAGAATGTGGCTATGTGAAGGATACAGGATTTGTTTGGCTCAAATCCAAGGAAAAAACTGAGCACAAGTTTGAGAAAATTGGAAGGCAGGTTCAATATGGAACTGAGTGACAGCCATTTGTTGAACAAAACAAGATCAAGAAACTAACTGGGAAGTTTCCTGTTCGTTCATAAATGTGATAGTAGACAAACTGACAAACTTGGGTGAAAGAGATAAAAAGACAATCCGACTTCAATGAAGCTCTATCTCTGCGTAGTCAAGTTAGAGCTATACAATGAAGCAAGATCAATGATGCATCTCAAATTTCAGATTTAGGCCAAGGAAGGCCTATTCCACTATCAATGATTTTATTAGCTGAGCTCTGTAGTACTGTGCTACATTTTTCCAAAGCTTGTAATGGAGGGCCACCTCAAATATTAATTGATAGTTTTATGCAAGTCTATATAAGAAACTTTTATTATAAAAAGAAAAAAAAAACAGCTGCAAGTAGTGTTTGATATTGAATCTTTCATTCCTCATAAAGGACACCCTGATGTTTAAACCACCCAGCTTCACCCTCCAAGAACAGAAGTTCGTAATAAGAACATTGGCTCTAACTATTTATTTGCAAACAACAACAATCATTCTTTAATTTATATTCTATTTCACCTCTTCATGAAGAAAAAATGACACATATTCTAATTAAACACCCAACAAAGATAATCGTTTTCAGATAATTGTTTAGGAATACAGAGTGTTATAAGATATATCTTTTTGAGTAATGCAGCAGTACTGTTTCCATTCACTCAAACAATTTGTATTACTAGGTACTAAATGATTGCAAATTTGATGGAAGAAATTAAAAACTTACACATATCTCTTTTGCCGCCTCATTAACATATGATCCATCTTCATTCCTATGTGTAGCGAGATAAAGTTGTCCTCGTCCAGGCTTTTGTCCAGTCTCAGCCATCTATAAATGAAATAGTTAAAGTCGCATCAACTTAACTAAGAATAGTTGCTAGTTTAATTAAAGTATTCAAAATGAATCAATACCATTTCAGCCCTTCTTCTGGAGTTAGGTTTGGAGCCACCGATATGTGAAACAATTTGTTTCTTCCAAATTTCAGCATTTCTTTTACAAATTTCCTTACAAAAAGATACCACGAATTACACAGGAAATGAAGTGAAACAACATCTGATTCAACACGAAATGAATTTATAGAAGCTGCTGTTTCAGGAAATTGTTCACCAATTAATAACTTAGCACCTCCGTACTCAAACATAAAAAGCATGTGTATACCAAATTACGCTTTGCATAACAACAATTTGAACCATAAGATTTCCTGAGAAATCACCATACATAGCTTTAAGCAAAGGAATACCTCCGAAGGTTCAACCTCTTATACAAACAAATATATAATTACACATACTAATTGAAGCATTGAAATAAATACCCGTGTCTTTTCTTTAAAGCGGTAATCAACGAAAGAAATCCATTGATCCGGTGGAATTCCCAGTGGAACGCTATCCATTATCTCAGCTCTGCTCTTAAGTGGATCATAGACCTTATCAAACAACTTTAGCCTTTTGCGACGAATGTAAAGTGATAAGAAGCATTAAGCATAGGTTCTCTATGAATTACACAGGCAACAAATTGTTAGTTGCGACGTAAAATAGGTAGAATGTATAAATGAATGGCAATAACATACCTATTGCATCTACAGTCCAATGTGATAACACAAAGGTTGGGAGATCCAAGAACTTGAAGAAAATAAGTTGATGAAATGCGGAAGTAGCAAAGAAATGCAAGCGGAGCAAGAAAAATAAACTAGATATGTTGAAATTCAAGGAAAGGTCCAAGAACCCCGAGATTATATTAATCTAGATTTTGACAAGATCCTAATGACAACAAGTTGGTTATGAAACCAATTGCCTTCACTAGAGATAAGCTAATCAAGAACTAGATTCGGATCTTGACTTCTAGTTTGAATAACTTACGACAACAACTAGTAAAAGAAACTAGTCGCCTTCGAAGAATATCAAAAGAAACCAAAGATATCACAAGAAAGAAAATTATCTTACTACCTTAAGCTATGAACTAGTTAGGGTTGCAAGATAAATCTTCAAAGTAAAGTTCACAAAGGTTCAAAAGAACTCACAATAATAATATTAATCTTCAATGTCCCTCCACAATGGAAGACAAGCCCCCCTTTATATAGTAGTAAAGAAGGAGCTAGTCAAAACTTCAATAAATGAGAATTATATTCCCTAGAAGCATAGAAGACTACCCACACTAAGACCAATGTATTCAACATACGCATAGACCAATGCAAGTCAACATAGATTAAAACAACTATTAAATATATATTCTAGAAACTATTTTTGGGCTTATTTGGGCTGCTGAAAATTCCTCTCTTTTGGGGCATATTTGGGCCTCATTCCATCTCCTCTTGGACTTTAATTTGGGCCTCAAAATAGTTGTAAGACTTGGCCCAAAGATCCTCCTTGTGCTGGAGCTCTTCTTCTATTATAAGACCTTTTTAATTGCCAATTGAAGCTCATTAAGCTTGTCTTGAAATTTCTTTGTTTGAGACCTTGTCATGGGCCTTCTTGGAGCTTCCAGAGCTTCATCCTTCTCCTTTAATGATGTTGAGCTGCCATGAATGCTATTATTCCCCTCTTCTTGAAGAGAATTCGCCCTTGAATTCGAGCCTGCATCAAACAAGGAAAGATCAGAAACATTGAAGGTAGCACTAACTTGATATTCACTAGGAAGGTCAAGTTTGTAAGCATTGTCTCCAATCCTTTCAAGGACTTCAAATGGCCCATCTCCTCTTGGATCTAATTTGGATCTTCGTTTGCAGGAAATATTTCCTTCCAAAAATGCACCCAGACTAAATCTCC